TGTAGCGGAGTACGGCTCAGCGTGAATAGTGCATTCAAACCGAAACCCCGGAAGTTCAGCTTTTCCGAGCCATCTAGAGAAGAGATCCAAGATGTGAGATTTTCTGCAAGAAATGCCTCCATTTTTGCACAAAACTAAGATGAAATGAATGTTCCCGAAGTTGAGGCTTTTATAGAGGGAAGAACACTATTCATGGGGACACGTGTCAAAAAACTAGGTGGCTGCAGGAACAAGTGGCCAGCTGGCCCCCTTTTCTGGCTGGCCGGCCATTCTCTTTTTCAAAAACTGGCCGGCCGGCTCCCACTCCCCATAAAATTGGCCGGCCGGCTCCCAAAGGTGGCCGGCAATGCTTCAGTGTATCTCCTTGGCCCTGTTTTACCCTTCGAGGGAAAGTTTCAAACATTTCCATGCAACGGGAGAGCCAAAGGCCTTCATTTCCCTCTGTTTCGGATGCGTTCCGATGCCCAGATCGCCCGAAGTACACTCTGTTGTTGTTGTTTTGATTATCGAGTTGCTGTTTTGATTATCGAGTTGTTGTTTTGCTTATCGAGTTGTTTGTCGAGCGGACGTGTTTTACGTTTTTGAGTCATTGCGCTCTGTTTAAGCAATTTTTGTTTAAGTCTTGTTTATTTGCGTTGTCAACGTTATTGCATTTTGTTTATCGAGTTGTAAACTTGCTAAAAGTTCTGTTATATCTTAGTAAGTCGAGTTGCTTAGTTTGTTGCGTCGGTTCACTACCTGACCTGGTGATTACACAATGCACATTCCCATTCAATTTCATTTTTGTGCAAAATAAAATGATGCGATACGATGCTAAAAGTTTAAAACATAAACACCTTTTCCAAAAGCTGTTTCATTCCATCATGTTTTACAACGAACAAAGGTACAAGTTTTACAGAAAATAAAACTGCCTAACAATGTGCAAAGTGCTACAAACTACTAGCAAAAAGAAAAATAAAGCAGGAAACAGCAGCATCAATGTCCTCGGGAAGGGGAACGAGAAGCACGCCTCGTCCTCTTCTGTGGGTACAGCCTCTGCACCATCATCATCGTCTGGGTCAGAGCTGTCATCCTCAGGATCCCCCTCAGCCTCGTTCCCCACTCCCCGAACCAAGACCGGAGCCCCCCTCCTCAGCAGATGTCTCTGACTGACGATCTGTGGCCTCCTCCTCCTCCTCCTCCTCATCAGGCTCCGCCTCTACAACATGTGTCCTGCGCCTGCGGGAGGACCCTCCTCGTGCTCCTCGGAAAGGCCTGGATGGCCCAACTCCTCGGAAAGGCCTGGATGGCCCAGCCCCCTGAAAAGACCCGGATGACCCAACTCCGTGAAATGGCCCAGATGGCCCAGCTCCCCAAGGAGGCCCAGGTGGCCTGGCCTGCGGCTGACCGGACCATGAAGGCATCTAAGAATAAAGAGTTCAATTCAAATACATCAGTCCAAATATATACATCAGATGCAGATACAAGCAAAGGCTACATGAAGTGGGTGCATGTAAATACAGTGTACAAGAGGGGTATGTGTCAGATGTGCTCTACACAAGTAGTCTATCGATGCAGTAGAAATCAGCATGTCATCAGAAGTATGATAAATGCCAGAAAACTGAAGGGTACCTGAATGCCCACGACAGACAACTGTGCCTCCCTACACAGGACCATGCCCTCGAGTGTGGCCACCAGTCCAACCACCTCCTCCATGTACCCTCGCGATGGCTGCAAATATGAGCTCATAATCATCAGTGAACAAAAGAATGTCTAAACATAAAAAACAGTGGAGCATACCAGTGGTGAGTCAGGATCAATGGCGTATCGATCACTGGGCATCGGAGGCTCTAGCGGGATCGGAGTCGGAGAGATAACCCCATACTGCCACGCCATCAACTCAGTTGGCATATCTGGCCATCCAGGATGAGGATAAGTCGGCGAAATCGGAGAAACCGGTCTACCCCCACCTCTAGATGTACCAGCCCCGCTGGTGGAAGGAACGTCTGCAGCCCGAGCCCGGGCCTGACCCGAGGATGACATACCAGCAGGCCTCGTCATCGGGGTACGAGCTCCCGTCAATGGAGGCATCAAATATGTATGACGGTAAGTGCCGTAATCACCCTCCTCGAGATATAGTAAAGCATCGCTACCCAGCATAGCGCCGACTACCTCCGAGAAAGAGAGCCTGTCAGAACCACTGGTTGCATAAACTACTCTGATATCAAGTACTGAAAAATTGTAAAACATTTGGCACTACAGAACCGATTTAATTTAAAATTTTCAAAAATTAAATATCGAAAATTTTAAATAATTCGGAAGTATATAGTTGAAAATGTACAATAATTTCGGAATATTTTTTCTGATTGGTGAGTGACTTCTTGTTTCTGAATATTTTTCCAGATTGATCTTTCAGTTCGTTCGTTCAGCCCTAGAAAAAGAACAGGTACGTCATACATATACAGACGCTAACACTACATATGTATGCTTATGAGATAGGCAAAACTATTATCTGGAAAAGATTACTTTTTTGATGATTTTGTGTAGATCACAAAACCCCTCTCTTTTTTTCTTGAGATCACGAAATGGAAGAACAACAACATATTATTGCTTTTATTGTTGACAAATACTGTGGGGTTACGGTGGGATGGTTCGGAAAAGAGGAGAGAGAAAGTGAAATTACCTGAAAATGTTTGGGGTTATCGCAGCAATTGCTTTGCTCTTTATCCTCTGTATGCGGCTAGGGTTTCGCAGCAACCACTTCGTTTGCTCTGAGGGATGAGAGACTGGAGAGAGAGAGAGAGAGAGATACCTTCAATCTGAAATAGTTTTGGTCCCCAAAAAATAAAACATAAAAAATCTGAAATAGTTATGAAATTTAAAAGGAAGGTTCGGCAGTTTAGGAAGAGCTTAAAAAAGTAAATTTTTTTGTTTTTTCACTTTTTTTTAGTTAAAGAAGTCAATTTTTTTATTCAAAATAATCTAATTTTTTGCTAAAAACGTTTCAAAAAAGTCAAAAAGTCAATTTTTTTACAAACTTTTCAAAACACCACATAGTTATGGAATTTAATTTTTATATTATCATTAATGTATTTTAGGTAAATTATAAATACACTTTTTAAGATTTACTTAAAGTATAAATTGTCTCCTATAATTTAAAAAATTATAAATATCTCCTTGTCAAAAAAAAATTTTAACAGAATTAATTAAAAAATAAAATTTATAATTGCTCTCCTATAAAATAATAAAATTACTTAAATTATTAATTGAAATATATTTCTAACATCATTAATAACTATTAATTGATTTGATGAGTAATTAATAAAATAGGCGATTTGTTATGAAATTAGAAATCTCAGGAGATGGATGTAATTTTCAAAAGCACAATGGCAATTCGTATTTTAATCAAATCCATGGGATATATTTATAATTTGCCCAATGTATTTTATAATAAAAAATAGATAGTATTTTTTAAAAAAAAATTATTCTTTCATAGAATTGGCTCAATGGATATAAAATTATCAAATTGATTCATATACAAACAAAAGTAAAAAAAATCATTTCCAAGTGGAGGGCAATTTTGTCATTCCAATGCAAAAAAACCAAAAAAGTCAAATAAAACAAAAAAAAAATCAAAAATTACTCAAAAATTATTTTTTTTTTTTTAATTTTGTAGTAGCATGTAAATGGTGGAGTGAATTATATTTATTATTTTTTTTGATTTTTTATATTTATCTTGTCGGGTAGAATATAAATATTTAATTCTTTTTAAAAAAAAAAATTCAAAAGATGATAAAAGGCCAACAAAAAAAAAAATAAATAAATAACAACAAAACTACTCAAAAAATTATATTCAAACATCACTTAAAAAATAAAAAAAAAAGTTGGTTAGAAATATGCCAAAATGACATTGCACCATTAGAGTACCATTACTATAATTTAACATTTTACTAGTATAACATGTCCAATTATAATTTTAGCAATGTTGTTGTGACAATTAAAATTGGAGATGCTCATAGGGCAAATTATACCTGTCCCTTATATTTGAAAAAAATATATATATAATAAATTCTATAATTTTAATATAATTATATTAAAATACCAAGTCTCATATTGATTAATAATTTATTAATTACATGAATAAAAAAATGATCTTCTCATTTCTTTCACTCAACAACTTATATCTTAAATTATTTTATGTTTTTACATTAATTCTGATCCATTTAGCCATATTAAAAGAAAAGTTAATATAATTAAGTCAAAACTTTAAAACTTTTTTTTTTTTTCAAATTTTAAGGTTAGTATAATGGGTTTATTATACTTTATACCCCTAAATTATCGTCAAATTGTCAATCTATTAAGTCCCTAAAGTATGAAAAATGATATAGGCTCCAAATTTTCTACCAAATAAATTACCAAATGTCTCACAAAGACCCCACACCCATGTGAGACATTTGGTCATTTATTTGGTAGAAAATTTGGTATCCCTAACATTACTCCTAAAGTATATTGATTAAAATATATTTAGTTCCTAAACTATCAGTTGAATCTATTAAGTCCATAAGTTATTTAAATCAAACATATTTAATCCTTGAAAAGGTTATAAAAATAAAATATAAATTCATAAATATTATATATTGGTAAAAGAACCTAATATAATTAATATTAAATTTTTATTCTATCTTTAAAAAGTGGGTGTTACCTCTTAGGGTGAATTTTCTTTATGAGGATAAGAGTAATTATATATAGTTTTTTCTTATTTATCATCTAAAATGACTACGTGTGTTTGCCTTTATCTAATATTATATGTCAGATTTTGTTTATAATTATTAATTGATTGTTTTTAAGTTTTTCACTAAGTTTTTTTTTTATTCTATCTTTAAAAAGTGGGTGTTACCTCTAGGGTGAATTTTCTTTACGAGGATAAGAGTAATTATATATAGTTTTTTCTTATTTATCATCTAAAATGACTACGTGTGTTTGCCTTTATCTAATATTATATGTCAGATTTTGTTTATAATTATTAATTGATTGTTTTTAAGTTTTTCACTAAGTTTTTTTTATAATTTAATTAATATATTATTTTTTCTATTATTATTTGTAACAAAATGTTAATATTTAAACTATCTAATTCTACCTTTTCAATATATCTAATACTTACATAATTTTATTAGCAAGGCTGAGAATTCAAATTTTAATATTAATTTAATCACACAACGAAATAAAATACTTAATAGAGACAAAATAAAAATCTTTGTAATAAATTTTTAATTAGGTATGGTCTTTTACTTATTTATAATATTTACGAGCATATATTTTAATTTAATAATTATTTTAGGAACTAAATAGATTTGAGTTAAATATTTTACAAATTTAATAGATTCAATTGATTGTTTAGGAACTAAATAGATTTTAATTCGTATACTTTAGAAACTTAAGAGAATCAATCGATAGTTTTGGAAATTAAATAGATAATTTGATGATAATTTAAGTATAGAAAGTGTAATAAATCCTGGTGTAATGTACCCTATATGTTATTGGAAACCCAAAACCCAATTTAGAACCTCTATATATATAGCACACTCTAGATGGTGTGATTTATGTATTAGTAAAGCCTATAATGTGTTCAGAAATGAGACACCAAATAATCTTTCAATATAAATTAATAGAAACCATATAGAGGCAATTCTTGAGACAACTCTAAATTAATCAAATCAAACTGGAAATAAAGAGCATCTATGAATAAAAAACAAAAGGCCAAAAGAGCATCTATGAATAAAAAGCAGAAGGCCAATTTTATAAATACAAAGAAAATAATCAGATTTTTAATTAAGAGATTATTATGTTTAAGGCAACAAATTTGAAACTTGTCCCAGTCAAGTTCATTAATTGAAAAAATATATATTCAAAAGTCTTTGTACAATAACTTATTTTATATTAGCCAAAAATTATAAGGAGAATCACTGAATAGTGGGTTAGAGGGAAAAAAATCATACAAACATTGGGGGTACTACTCAAATATTGTCAGAGTAAAAACTTTGAGTTGCACCCCTCCATATTTTTTAGTTTTTAATGTTTTTTTTTTTGGTCTCAGTATTCAATACTTCCCCAAAATTATATATAAATATATATACAAACATAATTTGCAAAAATGGGTATGTACTATAATAAGAGATGAAAACCCTCATACCATGTCTAATCGTCCAAGTATACACAATCAATTTGACAATAACACTCCTAGAGGTAATGGTTACTACGACCAATGCCTAACATGGATGATACAACATACTGATTAAATGATTCAGTGGCATAAAAAATATTTTTTGTTGTTCAAGCTATTTATACATCACAAACTATCATTATTTATGTTTGAATTAGATTTTATTTTATTGTCAATTGAATCAGTTTTTACTTATTGTCGACTGAATTAGATTTTATAAACATAGTACAAGCTAGGGAGAGACAAAGGGGATAAACATTTTACCGTTGGTTGTGACCTAGCTGACAATCTCTTTGGTCAGCAATGGCGACTTGAAACCACAAAATCTCAAAATAGAGAAAAACAAAGTGAGGGAGACCAAAAGAGGGAGGATCATTGAGAGAGTGAAGGAGACGGGGAGAGAGAGAGAGAGAGAGCTTACCTGAATCGCAGATGGAGATAATCCAGAGAAAGTCAAACAACGACATGGATTTAGGGCTAATGTTGTGGGAAAAAGCTATTTATACCTAAAGTACAAAACGACGTAGTTTTATGTTTTTATTGTGACTGTAAGGCCTCATTTGGGAAGTAATAGTTTTAGCCTAAAAATCAAAAAGTTACCAAAAAAATCAAAAGGACTATAACCTATACCAAAAAGTCAAATATTCTCTTTTCTTTCTACTTTTTATACATTTTTTCATAAAAAATTAAAAAGTCATTCCAAACATATAAGTTTTTTTTACCTCATATTTTAGCCAAAAAGTCACTAAAATAGTCTACTCCCAAACGAAGTCTAAATATTTATGAAAAAAAAATGATAGGCGGAAATGAAAGGTGCCAAAACAGAAAAGAGGAAAAGTGGGGAATAAAGTATGTATACTAATTGAGACGGTGTATTTGTCAATGCGAAAAACTATCTTTTGAGACGGCAAATTCTCCTGACTCAAATAATTCTATGAAAATGTCTTTTTTGAGATGGTCATTTTTGCAAACGCCAATTCAATACTTTTGCCATGGCAATTGTTACCGAGGCTAATTATTAGACTCAAATACCCTTTTTTCTTGTAATGATAGTGATCCAAGTTAAAATGGCTTTGACAAAGTCATTTTTTTTATTATAGCGTAACTTGTTATTTTGGCATAATTAAGTAACAAATTCAGTTAATTTTTAAACTTTTCAACCATTGAATTGATCGATGTAGTAAATTAAAGTTAATTATACATAAGAGATATAGTGAATGTTATTCCTATGGAGTTGTAGGTCTTCAAATGATAAGTTGTGAATAATTCACTTAATTTTAATTATTTTTTAATATTATTGATTTTTTGTAATTTGGAGATTTTTTATAATTTTAAAATTTTAATAGAACTTTGATTTGTAAAAATTGTGATTTTTTTTTTTTTTTGAGTTTTAGTAGGAAATAATGAAAATTAGTGAAAAAGTCCATTTTGAGCGACCTGTTTAGAATAGATCCTATAAATATACTTGTGATCCGATAATTATTATATACTCATCTAAAAGGAAAATAATATACAAGCTTACTTTTTAGATACATTGATGTGTTAATAAGATGACTGATTAGAAAATAATATATTTTATTTACAAACCCACTTTCTAAAAAAGAAAAATGATATATAAGCTCACTTTCTAGACCCATTTAAAAATAATATATTTTGTTCATTAGGAATTGGATTCTTTTATGTTAAAAAATTTAATTGGATGATTTTCTTTGGCTCACTATAAACTCATTTTGGATCTATTTCGATAATTCAAATTGTTTATTTTGTGTGATTTTTTTAGAAGATCGCACACACTAAAAATTAGGTCAATCCGATATTGGAAGCTACTTAATCGGGACACATTTGCTTGAAAAATAATTAACAAATAGCATAATTTTGAAAGTAGTCCGTTAATTATTTTTCAAACAAAATGTGTTCCAATCAAATAACTCGCAATATCGAATCGACGTTTTCCTCCTTTTTTCTACCCAAGACAATAGTCATAACTACCATAATGGTAGAAGAAAGCAAGAATGAGAAATAAAGGCAAAGAGAAGAATAATGTCATTTCAAGCATATCACAATATTTAAAATGCCACGTGCGAGACACATTAAATATTCACTGGTTTATATAACGGATCATTAATAGAATGTTCACATTGATACAAATTAATAACTTAATGTGAAAAAATAACAATTTTTAGTTTAAGGGGACAAAATCATAATGGATGATAATAGTTCGAGGGTAAGGTGTAATTTACCCTAGACATAAGTAGATAGCTGGTGATTAACAGAGCAAGCTGTACTGCCCCTACTGTTTTGATCTAAGGGAATTGATATTTAAAGCACAAAAAGGTTTTTCCTGGATGAGCTAGAGCAGTTATAATTTTCTTTTCACATGTTACTCACATTTTTCTCTCACATATCCTTATCAACTCGTTGCAAAAATTGAATTATACCAAAATTATAACCCTTAGTGACAAGAAAATAGCAAATCAATTTGTTTTTGTATACCAGTTTCATTCATTCTCCTCATTTTTTCCCTTGGATTTGAATAGTCATGACCAACACTGATTCTCCAAGACATCAATCTCATGTGCAACTCTGCAATTCATCCCCTGATTTTGCAAACTCAGAGTGTTGACTTATATCTCACCACAAGGGTCATGATTTTGAATTCACCACTCACGGAGCACAATTGCTTAATTCACTGACCAATATTGTAAAACTATCCGACCATGCTCTGTCCCAGTGCTTTGTTGATTCTATTTTCCGTCATCAACACTCTCTCTTTCTCGACTTCATCCCATTTCCCTCTTTCTGCATAAACATTTGACAACAACACATAATTACCGAAATTCCAAGGTTCAAGATCAATAAGCTCCTTCACTGCACTTTCTGCAAGCTCCATGTTATCATGAGTATGACAAGCACTTAGCAATGCACCCCAGAGAGTAGCATTAAGGTTCATAGGCATGGTGCAAATTAAATCGTGAACCTCCTTCACACATCCACTACGCCCAAGAAGATCAACCATCAATCCATAATGTTCAAGTTTTAGTTCAATTTGATGCTTTGTAGTCATCGAGGCAAACAAATCCAAACCTTGTTGCACCAACCCTACATGTGCACAACATGCTAAAACTACCACAAAAGTGACATCATTCGGTTTCACATCTTTCAACAACATCTCCTCAAATAAATCAACTCCAAGCTCACCCTTTCCGTTGAAAGCCAAACCCGAGATCATGGCATTCCAAGAAACCACATTTTTTCGAGGCATGTCCTTGAAAATAGTGAAAGTTGTTTCTAAAATCCCGCATTTGCAATAGAAGTCAACTAGTGAATTCCCTATAGAGATGAAATCTCAATATAGTCCACTTGACTTGGCATAAGAGAGGATCCACTGTCCAATATCAACTGCCTCCAAACGAGCACAAACTGGCAGCACAGAGACCACAGTTGCTTCATCCGGTTTAAAACCATTGTCCTGCATTTGGCAAAAAATCTCCAAAGCTTCATTTTTCTGACGACTTCGAGCTAAACTTGAGATCATAACATTCCAAGACACAACATTCCGCTCGCTCATCTGCCTAAATAGACGAAACCCCATTTCAAAATCACCAATTTCACAAAACCCACGAATCATCAAGTTCCAAACAATCACATCCCTATGAGGCATTTCATCAAACACCTTCATCGCATCCTCCATCGTCCCACAAGACTCATACAATTCAACAATCCCAATCCTAATCCTAATCGAGCTAAAGCTCTCAAACCCAGCTGAAATAACCTCCTTATGAACTCCCTGACCCATTTTGAGATCAAGAAGAATGGAACAAGACTTGAGCAAAGGGGCAAAAGTGAATTCATTGGGCCAAATTCCTCGAGACTTCATTATTGTGAAAAATTGGAGAGAATTTTGAAAGGGTTTGGAGAGGGAGTGGCCTTTGATCATGGAATTGAAAAGGAAGATGTTTGGGTCATAGGTTTGGTGGAAGATGAGTTTGGCATAGGAGATCCTGTGGAATGAGAAGCAAACGGAGATGAAGTGAGAGAGGATTTGATTGGATTGGCGGAGGAAGTGGGCGTGGATTTGGGTTCGGGTTTTGTGGCCGTGGCGGAGGTGGAGGATCTTCCGCTCCACCTCCCGTCAACTTCCGCTCATCTTCTTCTCTCCAGTTTGTATGTTTCTACAAGAGAGAGAGAGAGAGAGAGAGGTGGTCGAAGAAGTAACTGAAATTTGAAATGTGAGCTGGATTGGCATGAAATTTTTTATTATGATGGATTGTCTGGAATAAACATAAAATAAAATTGGAAAAAAATACTATTCAGATTTGACCCTTATTTATTTATTTTTTGATCATAGATTTGACCTTGCTAACAAACTAAATTCTAATTTTAACTGTTTCAATTGTGTGGCATAACTAAAAAATTAAAAAATACATTTATTTAAATCATTCCAAATACTTTGATCATGGAATTGAAGAGGAAGATGTTTGGGTCATGGGTTTGGTGGAAGATGAGTTTGGCATAGGAGATCCTGTGGAATGAGAAGCAAACGGAGATGAAGTGAGAGAGGATTTGATTGAATTGGCGGAGGAAGTGGGCGTGGATTTGGGTGAGTTGGGTTCGGGTTTTGTGGCCGTGGCGGAGGTGGAGGATCTTCCGCTCCACCTCCCGTCAACTTCCGCTCATCTTCTTCTCTCCAGTTTGTATGTTTCTACAAGAGAGAGAGAGAGAGAGAGAGGTGGTCGAAGAAGTAACTGAAATTTGAAATGTGAGCTGGATTGGCATGAAATTTTTTATTATGATGGATTGTCTGGAATAAACATAAAATAAAATTGGAAAAAAATACTACTCAGATTTGACCCTTATTTATTTATTTTTTGATCATAGATTTGACCTTGCTAACAAACTAAATTCTAATTTTAACTGTTTCAATTGTGTGGCATAACTAAAAAATTAAAAAATACATTTATTTAAATCATTCCAAATACTCCTAAGAACATGCAATTTAAATAATTTAATTATTGGTTTTTTCTTTATTACAATTGACAGCTACCTCCTATCTTTATTTTTGTTCATCACCCCCCTTCCTTCTCCCAACCCACTACCACTGCTTCATTCATTTTCTTCATTCAACGGTACTCTCTTTTCCTTAACTCACTATCACCCCTCTCATTTCTTTACTAATCCATAGCTACTATCGTTGTCCAACGCCACTAACAAAAAGTGATTAAACTGTCCAAATTGCTCACATTTTGCTAGATATAACTAAAAAAAATACAAAAAATAAAATAACTCAAAAATTGTTTTAAAAAACTTAAAACCAAACAAAATGAGGAACTTACTGAAATGTGAATATGATTACTCTTTTTCTATCAGACATTTATGTGCACACCTCAATTCTTTAATCAGATCAGCTGATGCAAAAAAGCAAGCCCAATTGGAAAATTTAACACATTATCACAGATGAGACTGAATTTGTTTCAAGGGCTGCTGCCTTCTTGCCTTCAATTAAGACAAATATTTTAATGTCTGACAGTAGAACTCAGCTGGAATGTCTACCTTACGGCTCATTGAGGCCTCCAATCTCAATTTGCTCAAATTTCTATTTACCCCCTCTCCCCCAACCATAATCCCCGCTTTATCTAACCAAAAACAAAAACAAATTTCCAGAATGCAAAATGTTATTACCAGCTTTGGATTCAAATGTTACAACAAGCATGCTTAACCATATTGCAAAGCAGTCGAATGGTAAAAGTGTTTTCCAAAACAATATCACCTCAATCGAGAAGAAGCGCATCATCGCTCATCTATATTTTTGGCAACATATCCAGTAAGATGAAATGTACAAAACTGGAAATGATATTCAGCCCCAAGTTAAGCTTATAACAACAGCCATGTGAACACTTACATTACTATTTGTTACATTCTGAAAGGAAAGCCAAAAACTTGAAAAGTTACCCTTTCTAGTTGAATTCAGGACGTCTAGGCTAGGGATAAGCATCTTAAGATCACTTTTTGGATGAACCAAAACCCCCAAATCCCATCATTGCTGCAACATCGGCATCTACCTCAGTTTCCTCCTCTGCTGCCTTCTCTTTCTGATCCATATAACAAATCAACAATCAAAAATCATATTATATTTCTCCTCAAGTAACGTAAATTGGAGCATGTGCATCTCGTCAATTTTCCTTTTTCCTTCATTAAGTTTGTTTGTGTATCTATGCTTATCAACAGGAAGAAAAAAAGGGAAAATCGATTTGGAACTAACCTTCTTCTCTTTCTTTCTCTCTCTACGTTGACGCTTCCTTTCCTCCTCTTCTTGCTGCTGTTTTAAGATCCGGTCATCAAAATCTACCAGAGAAAAAGAACAGAATCAATCCAGTTTTCCTTGTATATCCTCGTAGCAATAGAAATAGGTCAGGCAGAAAAAGAGTTAAATCTGAACATAAGAGAATTGAGCAAAGAAATGAGAACTCGTAATGCTTTTTTGGTTCACAACTGAGCTATCAATATTTATCAATTTTATTAAAGAAGCGGCACAACCTTGTACACACAAGATATACAACTAAGCAATCAATGATACTTAAAAATTCAACATCTGAACTCAACTAGCCTTAAATTCCAACTGGCACAATACGTGCTTATTATTTTCAAGTCTTACCTTGCTCGGTAAAGGGTCCAGTATCTTTCCGCTTCTTGAGAAGTTCAAATCGCTCCTGTACCTGAAAGCCGAAGAAGGTTAGAGTCTTAGCACACAATATAACACTATGAATAACTTCTTGCCCAAAATGAAAATTTGGGGTCCCAGATGAATAATTTGCTTTTCAGAAAAACCGAAACATTTGGGAGTGGCAAATTTTTTCATCACATAATGTATACACATTGCAGGCACTTGTTTGTTAAGTAGGAATAGGAGGGATTGGATGTTCCCCGAGATAAAATGCCAAAACTATTATATTCTTTAATCCAGCCATATCCATTGTTCAATTGGGGCAGGATTAGAGATGGCATGAGGTGGACCCAATACTTTTATTGCCATCAAGTTTTATACCAAGCCTTAACCACCATCTACCTAATCCTCAGACCAACAATATAAGCCCCATGGAGGCACAAACAAAGGGGATAAGTGGGCCCCATCAACTATTTTCAACCCAGACTATTTGATCCTGCAAGTAAACGCAGCCATTATACACAAATAATTTTGTTTATTCACACTCAGCTCCTTTTATCTACAATGTGTCCTATACTTGTAACATAAAATGTTCCCTTTTTCACGAAGAAACTTCTAGTTAGGATGCAGACAGACCATGGATATAATCTGAAGACTACTGAGAATGTCGTGCATTACACAATTGATGTCTAGAACCAAATATTAATCCCCTCAAATCTGATGCTTCTCACTTTTCCCTTCTTTTTCATTCATTTTTATAAGATCGAAAGAACATATCAAATAAAAAACAACGCCCAATTAGTACATATTAATGTGTGTTTGGGAGGAGAAAGATTGAGTACACACCTAACCTTTGGCATAATGCACAAAGTGGTAGCCCCAATACTTGAACCCATAACCTTAAGATTATTAGGCCAAGTCTTAACCATTGAACCAATGGTTCAATAAAAAAGCTATAAGCAGTGGATTACAATCATTCAATTGGATAAACTTTTGGCCAATTATCATTCAATTCATAAGCAATTATTGCCTGTTGCAAGATTCCCAAATGCAGTACAATGCAGCAAGGAGGCAACAGCTAATTCTACCTCACCACGTATCCCCTTCCTAAAGAAGACTGCCAACACTTTTGGAATGTAAACTAAAAAAATTGTTTGGCAAAAGTTTTTTTCTTCTGAAAACACCTTATTTTTTAAGAAACCCTTTAACCTAGGTGAAATTACAAATCAAACCCTAAAGTTTTAATTGTTTGAATTTGAACCCTAAGCTTACCAATTTTGCCCATCCATCTATTAGTGTACCAGAGATTTTTTTTATTTTTTTTTCAACAGGTGTCAATGTCATTCTCTTATTTGTTATTTCAAATGCATATAAAATGAAAATCAATTTTTACCATAGACCGTATTACAGAGAATCAACCTCCTCTTCTTCCCAAACCATTCCCCAACACTACCCCTCCATTCCCAAACGGCACCCCCTTCCCCCAGCAACCCCGCGTCTCCAAACACAATACATGGCAGCAACTTTCTTCGTGCAGTCATTCTTGCTGAAGAATGTGGGGCCAACAATGGCAGACGGGGGTTGTTGAGTGGTTGCACTGGTGGTTGTTGAATGTATATCTGTACATATAATATACAGTAAGAAAAATATATATTTGCATATATAGTAAAGGGAAAGTTACCAATAAGTTCTACTTTGCATTTAAGGTTACAAATGAGTCCTATCAAATTTTAATGTGGACAATTAATTAAGTCCTATTTTTGATAACTTGCTCCCAAAAAGTTCATTTCTCCATGGTGGTACGTTTTATTCTAAGTTTATCCTTTACATCTATATAACAAGGAAGCTCTATTTTTGAATCCTGATGGGACTTTTGTACCTTTGTCAAAATTTGGACCATCAGATTAATCCAATCTAAGGGCTGAAAACATCTCTCTCTCATCTCTTTCAACACACACCCTCTCTCTCTCTCTCTTTCTCACACTTACTCCTCTCATCTCTTTCTGTTTTCAAATTTTGAACACTCTCTCTCTCTCTCAGAGCCCATTCCCGTGCTTCCCTGTCGGAGCCCAACCCTTGCCAGCGACCGAACCTCAAACCCCCTATTACTCTCTACATCTTCTCTCTTCCTCCCTCCCTCTCTTTGCCATTCCAATCGTCATCAACAGTGGCAGCCCCGAACCCTCTTCAATATTGATAAAGACCGAATGGAGCCACTGCAAAAGGGGAACAAGAGTTTAAAGGGAGTCCTAACTACCGGAATAAAAGAGATCAGAGAGATTCAAAGATGGGAGTTGAAAAGGAAGTCCTCACTGCCGGAACCGGACCCAAGCCTGTCCCTAGCATCGTTCACTACACCGGCTACGGTTACCCCCCCTCTCTCTCTCTCAAGCCAATATGTAAGTATTTGTATGTATTTGTGTATTATATATGATTTCAATATGTATATATATTGGGACAATTTTGAGGATATGAAGAAGATTCTAAAATGCCGATGATGCTACTCTCCTCTTCTTTTGTTTCTTTTAACTTGCATTTAGAATCAATTTTGCTTTGGAGTAGGAGTTATTTCCAATATAGTGAACTGCTTCTCCAAATTTTCAGGACTCCCCTTTCCTTTCAATTCTTTAGATTTGGCATTGGAAACAGGTAACACTAGACCTGGCGACATTTTTGAAATGTTATACTCATCTTGAGTGATTATAACACTCTTGAAGTCCATCTCATTAAATATCAAGTTCTTTCCCTTATTTAGCTTAGCACCATTAGGTTTAGATGAAATTGTTGACTCACTTCAGTTGTCAAAAAACATGCATTTGGATGAACTGAAATACTGATCCCAGATTTGAAGGAATGAAAATAATAGGGTAAATTACAAACACACCCCCCTGAGGTTTACTTAAATTACAAATTACCCCATGTGGTTCTAAAAATTACATTATACCCCCTAAGGTTTCTAATTTCATAACAAATAGGTCATTTTATTAATAAATCAAGCTAATTAACAGTGTTTAATAATGTTAAAATTTTATTTCAATTTATAATTCAGATAATTTTATTATTGTATAGGTGAACAATTAGAAATGTCACTTTTTCAATTAATTCTGTTAAATAAAAAATTCTGCCAGGGAGGTATTTTGTAATTTTTCAAACCACAGGGGGCAATTCGTATTTTAAGCAAACCTCAGGGGGTGTATTTATAATTTACCCAAAATAATATTAAGCCGTTAGAAAGCAATGAAGTTAAAAAAATGTAGTTACAAAAAAACCAATATAATAACTACCAATAGGACTGTGTTTGTGTTTCTAAACCAATATAATAACAAAACAAAAAAAAAAACAATTAACAAAAATGTAGTTACATTTAACAAAAACCAATATATATGTCCGATTTGTTGAAACAACCGAGAGTAGGGATTAATCTTCTATCTTATTAAATTGATTTTTTCCCCTCAACTTAAATTTGTTTTGTTTGATGTTCTCAAATTAAATTTGTTTTGTTTGATGTTCTCAACTTATATTTGTCAAAATCAGATCATTGATCTAAAGGGTTGTGTTTGTGTTTCTAGGGGTTGTACTTGCCAATAAATCTTCTATCCTGTTTGGCCAATCGAAATAATAACTACCAATAGGACTGTGTTTGTGTTTCTAAACCAATATAACAACAAAACAAAAAAAAAAAAACAATTAACAAAAATGTAGTTACATTTAACAAAAACCAATATATATGTCCGATTTGTTGAAACAACCGAGAGTAGGGATTAATCTTCTATCTTATTAAATTGATTTTTTCCCCTCAACTTAAATTTGTTTTGTTTGATGTTCTCAAATTAAATTTGTTTTGTTTGATGTTCTCAACTTATATTTGTCAAAATCAGATCATTGATCTAAAGGGTTGTGTTTGTGTTTCTAGGGGTTGTACTTGCCAATAAATCTTCTATCCTGTTTGGCCAATCGAACAGTTTTTTATTTCTGTTTCTAAGGGTTGTGTTTGCCAATAAAAAGCTGTGTTTGATCTAGACAGTTTTTTTATTTCTGTTTAAACCCTCAGATTGTTGTCATATTTTTTGTTCATCTTACTTTCTTTGTTCATCTTAGTTTGTTGTTGTTTTCTCTCATGTTAGTTTGTTGTTGTTGTTTAGTCAAGAAATCAAATATTTTCGAGATTAATCAATAAATCAAACAAATATTTGGGTCACACAATTTTTGGCCAATCAGACCAATATTTTGTGTTTTTGGCCAATCAAATATATACATGCATTTTGATCCCAATATATAGATATATATATATATATATATGTATGTATTTTGTACAGGGATTGATCCATGGATTATAAACAAAAGAAAAGTGTTTCTCTTAGTTCATATCATCTGTTTGGATTAGTGAATAGGGGAGACATTGATTTATTCTAAAACCCTCATTTTGAATTTTGGAGAAAAAATAAAACAACAGATTACTATTTTACATAATACCAAAACTGCTCCTGTAGATATAGAAAAAAAATAAGAACACTGACACTTATAAATTTTATTTTGATGATATTATTTTTTGTGGCTTTTTAATTATTTACGAAAACACTTACATAAAATAAATAGAGAGAATGGGTTGATTTTTTGTGTTAGTTTTTGGCTTTTTAACTAATTTTCCTATTCACAAACAAATTATTCTTTTTTTTTTTCCCTTCTCTCCTTGAATTAATAGGTTGATACAGTAATGTTATACAAACTAACAACCTTACAATTTTTTTTACTTATTAATGTCACGCTTAATGCATGTTTGATTAGTAGCATTATAGCATAGGATTGGAATTGTTAGTTTATGGATTCACAATCCTATGTTTGATTACAAATTTTATTAACTGGATTCAATCTAACGAAATTAGCGAATATTGAGAGGGGTTGGGGATCATAAATGGATACATAATAAAATGGTTATGTCACGAATTTGATTGGATAACGAATCCTTCACTAATTCATTTTATTATTAATCCTGCTAATCAAACAAGGCTTTATTACGTTATTAAAGTGGTACTATTTCAGATTTTGAGTTTT